ATATTATATATTATTTTATATACACAATATAATTTTACTTTTTTAAATGGAGTTCATATATTTATATAAGTTATTACGAAAGTAGGCCAAAAGTAGAAAATCTGAAATATTCTATTTATTCATGATTTTGCGTTATGTATATTAAAATAAGAAAAAAGAAAAAAATAAGTAATATGTATATGATAGTAACTATGAATTTTATAATTACTATCTCATTTAATATACAGACATACATATATAATTATATTCGTTAATTAATTCATTACTATTATTATGTATATAGAATATCTTTTTTCTTCGTCTAAATGCTTAATTTCCGACCTCGACAGTTCGTGCAATCTTAGTTAAAACTATTACGCGAAATAAATATATGCACATTTTTGTTTAATACTCCTTTTCATCAAAATAATATAACGAATCAATATATCAAGGAATAATGAAAATAGAAATAAATACAAATTGTTACGAAAGAAAACGTGCTGTCGCGAAACAATCTTTTTGTACGAGACAAAAAGTTCCGAGTCAATGGTGAAAAATAGAAAGGAAGCTTTTTACTTGACCCATTACGAACTTTCTCTCAATCTACTCGGAAACATCGATATACAATAGATATTAATCGGCCTAACCATAATCCTGATAGACTTTTCATAACGTTCTAAAGAATTTCTTTTCTTTTTTCCTTTAAATTTAGATTGTTATGTAGAATAGTAGAATTAATGACCTCATTGAGAGCTTATTTTTAATGCAAATATACATTATCTTTCTTTCTTTCTTTTTTTCTCATTCCCTTTTCTCTTTGACTCTAAGTTTTCTTCTTTATTCTTGAATTATTTACAAATCTCTTTTACAAATAATATTCTCCCGGTTTTTGTACGGGGGAAAAAAAATAAAGGAAAAAGAAAAAGTGAAAGAGAGGAAGGGAGAATGAAAATACCACGAAATAAACATGTTCGAATGAACGAGTGTTCACCTTGTCGACATTTTTCACGATTTATCGTACACAGGTTGAACGTCAGCGCGTTTGACCAGCCGAACCAAAACGAAAGTATTTCATTTCGAGTTTAGCAATCGGCAAATTATCCTGTAGTATGACAGTTCTCTCATGGACAATGGATTGCAAACGAACGGAAAATCGATTGGCTGAAAGAGACAAAAATCTGGATTAATGAAAAATACTTGACAAAAAATAAAAACTCGCTTTGAAAAAACGATAAGCAAAACAATCAAGGTGATACGGAACTGCGATAAGGGTGCCTACCAAGTTCATTGTCTTTGAGAATAATCAAGGGGCGAATATTGTAACAAAAAAAATACAAAAGAAGAAAAAAAATAGAGAAAGAAAGAAATGAAACAAAAAAAGAAACAAACAAACAGAAAGAGAGGAAAAGAATCGTTTGCTTTACGTAGGGCTTTTTTATGAGGAAAAAAATATATAAAGTAAAAGAAATAGCTCGAAGAAATTGGACGATATAAAGATCGTTTTATATATAGGGTATCCAGTTTGAATTCGTCCCTATAAATATTATATTACGCTGAATTTATATTCATTAGATTCCCATATATAACGTGGTTAATATGTTACGTTACGTTATATGACTTCGCGTTACAGGAAATCACGTTTTATGAAAATTTTTCTCGTGTAACACAAGTACGTTAATTTTTTAAATTTTTTCTCGAGATAATTTAAAATAATTTCATGAGAACATATATATTTAATATGAATAATGATAAAATTCTTCTTTTTTTCGCAAATTATTTTTGAGAACCTAATATTCAAAAAGAAAAATATAAAAACAGAAACAATTATGATGATATTATATTAAGATGATATAAAGTAATGCTCAATTAAAGCAAATTTGATTTTTATATACGGGAAATTCTAACATTTTATTGCATAACACGTTAAAAAAGGAATCACGTTATACGAAAAATGTATTTACAATATTTTCGGCATTTCAAGAAATCGCGTTATACGGGGATCTGCCGTATTGCCTTTTAATCGATGTTGGAAACATTTCTTTTTTGTGTGTTTAATAATTAAAATAAATAATTTAATAACTCAAAGAAATATAGTATAAATTCTCGTATAAAACGAATTTGGGTATATTCGAAAAATAAACTTTAATGAAAGAAATTACGTGATGAATTGAAATAAATGATACAATTTTTAGAAATTTCTATGTCTTTCGATTCAAATGACATATTTTTTAAAGTTATGGTTACCACGAAGTATTGCGCGTGACTTCTATAATAAACTATAGCAAGAAATACGTTTAGTCGCATGAGGATAACTGCGTTACTAAGTGCGATATGAATGCACAGCTGGTGCATAAATCATGGATAGTAACATGTGTCGAGCTAAAGGTATCATTAATGTGTTAGAGAAGGGATAAAGAGGATAGTTAACGTAGTTAACGTATCAAGGTGCGAATACGTGCATAGTAGCTTGCTTGGTTAGTATATACATATGTACCACTGCGTTTAACGCTTTGCTTTAAGAGAGAGTAAGTGAGTAGTTGAAATGCTTAACGTTTATAAGCTTGAAATATCCTTAAAGATATTCAGTAGTCTAACTGAACGAAATACATAATCTAAATAATGACGAAATCGAACTAATTTGAGAGTCATTATGTAACGATTGAAAAAACTGACCGATATTTAACAATTATAACGTTGATACTTCTACAATAGGAAAAATTTGCAGCATCGCATTCTTTGCCATATTATGAACCTTTGCAAATCGATTTATAACTCGAAAAGGTATTTTACGCGTAGACAAAAGAGTGTACTTTAATTTAATATAAAAATCATTAAAATCCGCTTGCTGTAAGTATAAGAAATTTTGGTCGAACTTTTTTTTATTGCAATGTATAGTCAATCAAAACAGATCAACTTTTATTTAAAGTATTTTTTTGTTCAGGTTATCGCAAGTACTTGAAAAATCTTGACTATCATGATATATATGAATATATAATATGCTTAATGAAACACACAGAAAAAAGTTTAAGTCCAATAAAAAACCATTAGATATTTGAGAGTTCCCTCTCTCTTTCTCCCTTTCTTTTCTGTCTCATTCCAGAGTTCGTAAAACGGCACGTTCCGAGTCGGTGGCGTCCCATAGCATTAGGACAAACAAACCGTATTTCGATACATCTACCTACTTCATTGTCTTTACAGAACGTTTAATGTGTACTGACCTGAAAACCCCTTTCAACTGACTTTCAGGTTTCTATTCGTGGCGCAATCCAGATGACGGCTCCTGGTTCATACAAGCCATTTGCAAGGAATTCAATATCCATGGCCGAACTCGTGATCTACTCACTCTGATGACTTTCGTCAATCGACGAGTTGCCATTAACTATCAATCCTACGTACCCCATCTAAAGAATTCCCATGCGAAGAAACAAATACCGAGTATAGTCAGTATGTTGACTCGGTTGGTATATTTTCCTAAAAAAAGTATTTTACGATCGACACCAGCGATACAACCGGCTCCCGAAGAAAAGAAAACATCTTATATAAAGAACAAGGATTGTGATACTATGCCATGCTGACATCCTTCAGATTGCAATCTCTGAACTTTTGTACAGATGACATCGTCTATTATTTTCTTTTCCTTTTCGTCAACTATTTTTTTTTCTATACACGCACGATTATAAATTAATAACTTTCCCTTTTTCTACGTGCATGTATATTATGATATAATTTTAACTTTTAAGAATTAAAAAAAGAATAATAAACGCGTTATTAAAGTATTATACATATTATTTCAAAATTTTGCATTTTTTTCTATTAAAAAATAAAATAAATAAAATTATATGTTAACTATATATATAGGAAACCGAGGATAGTAATAACATTTTGTTTTTAGAATACGATTACCAAATATGATACTAAACTATTATGCTTAGTAAAATAACTTGTACACGAAAATGTTGTTTACTTATCCTTGACATATTAAGTTATAACAGTTTCTCTGTATGTAAAGTAAAATATTTAGATTATTATATAATATAATATATTAATATTATAAATAAAAATATTATGTAATATATATATTCCTAATAAAAAAGTAGCAGAACACACATACACACAAGTGTTACAACCTATTTCGACCTCAGATCTGTTGTAACGCGGAATAAGTAGCAACGCAAACTTAACTTAATAGAATTGATATATTTAACGATATAAATTATAATTATAAATATAGAAAAGAGTATAATTTGTAACAATTTAATGAGAAAGACAATTTTAACAAAAATAAGAAACTTTTTGTTTGGTATATTTTTCACATTCCCAATTATTGCATTACACCGATTTTTTTATTTGGTTTGCTGGTTATATAAGATTCTGTGCAAACAAAACAATAATATTCCCTAACTTTCTATTTATATAAGTTAATTTTCTTTAATAGGAGAAATTCTTATTTAAATTGTAAAGTGAACAAAATAAAACATACATATGTATATCTGTTACTTTGTAAAAATGTATTATTCAGTTAATTTATAAAATGACTACGTATTACAGGAAATATTTAAGAGTTTTAAAGAAAGCATATATTGGGTGTATCTTTTAGGTATCTTTTAAGTAACTACCGAAAAAAAGATGACAATTTTGATGCAATGAATTTAATATCGAAGCACCGAATTAATTGTCACATCTAATAAATCACAATTTTATATTACTAACAATAAATTACATTGGGATATATGAAAATGTTATTATAATGTGTTCGTTTATTTAAATCTATTAAATATTTTTATACATTTACATTGTTACATTTTTCCTTCTATTACCATCTTCCCTGTTTTATCAAACCTTAGGCCTGCTAGAATTTATATTTTTTAAGAATAAATAAATACAAATGAGACAATTTAAATATTTGTATCAGTCATATTCAACCTGCGACTCGGCACATCCAGTCATAAATTTACCTTTTTTTTTTTGTTTTTGTATTTCGTAGTAGCCAGAATTGATTGCTGGCTACTTGTACCCTATCCCTAAATCCCTCGTCCGATTTTCAAGCGACGCCAATATGCGGCCCGAAAAAGAAAAAAAAAATATTGTCGTGTCATTAAATTCTTTAGACAGACTGTTTAAAATAAATGAATTCTCGTTGATTGTTCAAAGTATAACTATAGATACACTAATTTTAAGCAAAGAAAATCGATCATTGTAGATAAAAAGAGAAAGAGAAAGACTTAAGTTTCGATTGAACTACCCCATCGAAAACTCGATTCCATTTCATCGTCTGCAAGTACTGTTAAAGTTACTATTTTGCTTTTCTCATTGAACTCTATTCGTTTCTGTATCAGACTTATCTGACAATGAGTGGATAGACAAACCAAAGGATACACTACCACGAATTAAGAAATGTTATTAGAAACGATTTTCCAACATTGTGCTGCAGATTGACATTTAAATACGACAAAAGTGATATTTGAACCAAATCTCCAACAAGTTTGCATATAAAAGATGTTATTTCTTTTTCTTTTTCTTTTTCTTGAATTGTATGAAATCCTTGAACGGTTTCCCTTTGGTAACATAAATCAAACCTCGAATCCTTAAAATTCCAAAATGAACGCAACCACGTGCACGAACTTAAATTTTTATATATTTCTTTTGAATACGAATACATAAACATGAATTTTATTGTCGGTGAGTATATTATATTGATATAAATACATAGAATATATCGAGAAAACGTTGAAGAATTTCAGATTTTGAGCGATTATTTTTGTGATTTGATTAATAATATAAACAATTTTGTAACATCAAATAAATCATAAACTAAATTATATTACTTATTGTTAATTTCTTATATCTTAAAAAAATAAACATTTTTCCGAATTAATATTGATATAATATATACATATTTTATTCTTTACATATATACATATTACAAATAATTTTCTTAAATTATTTTCCCTATTATTATTATACTCCATATGTGTATGTAAAATTAAAAAATAACATGAGAATTAATCTGTCACAAGAATTTAAAAATATACATAAATAAATCTTAGACAGAATGTGAAAATGTTTTATATGACCATGAATGTGAACGTGTGCGACGATTGATACGTCACATATAAATTGTATAATATAGACTCCAATACAAATGTAAATATGTATTCATGATTAATAGGTCAGATAAAAATGAAGCCGCATATCAACGTAAACATGAATATATATATATATATATATATATATATATATATTTATATTATGTATACATAGTCAAGTTTTCTTTTAGTACACGAAATCGTTTAACTTCCTCCAGGTGGAAAAGTAAAGTAAAGCTGTTCTATACGTTATTCGAACTACCACGTACTATTGTGCTTCCCTAACGACGGAGTTAACAAAGGAACGCTTTGATAAAATGGTTCTATGAACGTTCTGCGAACGCCATTAGTATAAGTGTGCCCGGGCATAACGTAACGCGTGCATTCTCTATCGATCGTAATATCAAGCGCGATATTTACCATAGAATTTACTTTTTCTCTCTTTCTCACACTTGTTCTCATAAATAATAAACAAGATTTTTTTATTGCTTGTATTTAACGCGTTTGCATTTATATCGATAAACTTTTATATCCTATCATTATCTATGATTTGTGAAACAATTTATGTTGTTTACCGTTAATTAACGATAACACATCCACAGATCAGTCATTATCTTGTAAAAGGAATAATGTAATATTACGGAATATGCTTATAATTCAACGAGGTTCTATTCATACTCAAGAACATTAGTATTCGCCATATTCTACCAAACAATACGATTTTCGACAAATGCGAATTAATCGCAAATCTTCAATAATATGCTTTCCATTTCCGAATTCTATTTATTTCTTTTCTCTTTCCCTTTTATCTTTAGCTACAACTTCTATTGTCAGAGGAAAATTAATTTGGAGACAAAGAGCACATACATGGTATATATATACGTCCAGCCCAGTTTCTCTCTCTTACTATTATACCAATTTCTAGATTAACTTCCATACATTTCTATGACGTTCATTAACGTGTTTTGTGTTTCATTTTTTTTTTTTCCTTTTTTGTTCGAGGAAGAATAATTAATATCCAATTACATGATAGATATTCGTACAATAAATAAAATAAATATCGATTAAAAATTGAAGGAAAAAATAGATAATAATATGCAATTTAAATAATAAATATTTAAAAAATATTCAAGAGATTAAGATCAATCATGTTACGATCGACACAACGAATATTGTATCATATTACTATTCCTGAAGGAATAATTAGTATGATCTATGAACGAACGGTGCTCCGAAACGGTTAACGGGTATTCGATAACCCTATTACGTCCAGTCGAGTACTCAGAGCTTACATCTATCATGAACGTGCTACGAGACTGTAGTAGATAGCACATACCTGCTCGATGCTTCTGAATGTCTACCTATCGAGGATATTCTGGACGCTCTTGGGATTACTTACAAGTGATATACAATCCGTGAAGACATAAACAGAATCAGATATCGTTGCTTCTATAACATCTGTAAGTTTATTTCTTCATTTTAACAATAATGTATCAAAGATTATAATATTATATTACGAGGTGTATATAAATATTAAACTGATCATTAATCATACATTTATGTTTTTTTTTTTAGCATATTGAGTATTATCTTTTATTTTATTTTTGTTTATAATTAAATGTAAATCGATAATGAACAACAAGTGATAGATTAGATTTTCTATTGAATTTGTTTTTATACAAGTTACTATTTTTTGTAATAATGGATACAATTATTCTATCTCGAAACGTGAGTTAATTTGAAAATGAGAATGAGTATTTGAAAGACTATGCTCACTGACTATATACATTTCTAAATTAATTAAGAACAATAGTAGTAAAGTTATTTGTTAACCTCTGATTCCAAGGTACTTTTAATGACGCTTTAATCAGTGACCTATAAAAGAAATGAAAAGTTATAACGAAGTAAAGTACCACGTATATATTCTACAGGTAAATTTACTAAAGCGTGCAGGTTAATTATTATTCGGAAATAACGATACAGTACCTACAGGTTTTCTAGTTTTATTTCGTATCAAATTACTTTTCAAGCGTGTAATTTTAAATGGTGATTTTGTTTCAAGTGTTAAGAAGAATATCGAATAACAAATTTTATTTACCGTAGTTGTTTAAACGTATTATCAAATTTAATTCAGTAATTAGAAGATCATATAAGCGTGGCTTATTGTTAATGTCGCGTAAAGGGATATTTTCCTTTCGATATAGACTTTACAGTTGGTCTTTCAAAACTTTCTAACTATGGCGATTACACCAAAGTTAATTACCAATCGAACGACGATCCGTTTTCATTTTCCTTGTTCCGAAATTTGCTTTAGTTAGTATAATTTCGAACTACTTTGTAACTATTGTTGAATTAAAAATGACGAAAGTAATATCGTAGTATTGTATTAATAGCTCGCATAAATTTTCTAAGGATAATCTCATTTCCTTCTTATATCTTATGGATAAACAGTTTTTTTCATGTGAAAAACTCATGCAAATAAACTGAAAAAATTTCATACATATGTACGTATATATATGTAGGTATGTTTATGGTTATCTACGTAAATACATAAATTTTGCACCATTTTGCGA